AGTGGAAAGATATGCCCCAGGAGAAGGAGACTGAGAGTGACTCTGAGTTTGATTTCTCTGTTTGTCCTTTTTGACCAGCTGTTACTATGGAGGGACAAACCTCAGACCATCCTTTCACTCAATGAGACTGAGAAGTCCAAAGGTCCACTTGGCATACGTGTGAGACATCTGTGTGTCTGTTTACATTCATCTTATATTTAACAGTTTTCATGCAAGATTTTTCATACATAACCTTGTGCTGTTTTCTTTCAGTTCAGCTGTTTTTCTGCTGTCCCTGGCCCTCCGAGCAGCGCTGCTGCTAATGAGAATGTAAACACTGTGCAGACAGAACTGGTCCCCTGGGTGCCAGAGGGCTTGTGGCCCACCCCAGACCTAAGCCACTTCCCAACACCCAGACACAGATCTGGGCCTGTTCTTCTTTTGCAGCTTTTTGTCACAGACAGCTACGAGCAGAGGCGGATTGGTCCGTGTGTCATCACCGCTGACCAGCGTGTCTATGTCCAGGTCTTTTTCATGTGTTTTCTCTGCTTCGATTTGATATTGTGATGTAAACTAACTTCTTCACAGCTTACTTTTTTAAATACATCTAATGAACATGAAAGCTACTTAATTATAACTATGATATATTCTGCATCATTTTTTTCTGCTGCAGATTTCAGCTAAAGCACCTCTCGCAGATGTCGTGGAAGTGAAGTCATGCGTAGTCTCTTCTTTCTCAGACCCCAAAAAATTGCCTTTCTGGACTGTGATAAGTAACGGCTGTTCCTCTGACCCTTCACTGACCTTCAGTGCGAAGTCAAAACATGAGCAAGAGGAGACTGAAGATAACGTTGAAGCAGTAGAGGAAACGGAAGAGACAGAGGGCCTGGGAAATGGCAGAATTTATCAAACAGGTGAAAAAGCAGAAAGTGGAGGAGGGAGAGACAAGAGGACCATGAGTGTGAGAGAGGAGGAGGAGATACAGCCCTTAAGATTCAGCTTCATTCTACGACCAGTTTATAACGACTCAATGCAGTTCCTCCACTGCAGCCTTCGCCTCTGTGTCTCTGACACAACTAGAGGGGAACCCATGAAGGAAACTATAAAGAATGACTGTCAGGGCAGGCCACGCATGCCTCTGCTTCTATCTAGATCACCCGGGCATCAGGTAAAAAACCCCAGAAGAAATAGCAAATAAATCATCTTGTCAAAAGCACTAAGATGGAGCAGGGAAACTGTAGCTTGGTCATTTGTATAAAGTGCCTGTTAGGCATCTTGTGGAGCATTAGATGAGAAGATTGATAACCATTATGTGTTTGAAAGCTCACTGAGAAACCTAAAGCCAGGAGCCAGTTAGCTTACCTAGTCTTAGATTTTTAAAAATGTAGGTAAAGTGAACCGTGTTAGCCTTCGCACCAAGCTGTGTAAGAAAGTAGGTCAGCTTTATTTAAAAAAAATAAAGAGCCAAATATTCGCTAAAAACATGTTTGAATGTGCAACCTTATGTAATAGTTTTGTAGTAGAGTCATGGTAAACACCAGGACATCGTTTAGTATATCAGGGGAAATAATCTGGTCCTTATCAGGTCCTAAAGTTAGATAAACTGCAAAAGTCCCAGGATCTACATCTCGGACTCTGCAGGACTCAGTTAGCATGTTAAATATTACAGTTCACGGCAGTACAGTTAGAAAAAGACTGAATAGGTGTGACCTGTTTGGAACACAAACATGGCAGAATGACTTGGGTTTGAAAATTTATATCTGAACAAATCAAAGGGCTTCTGGAAAATTGTCCTTTGGAAGGACAGGAGCAAAGTGGAGATGTTTAGCTATAATGCACAACACCGTGTTTGGTGAATACCAAATGCCTCATGATTTGGGTTTGTTTTCCAGCATACTGTAGTTACTGAGTCAACCATGAACTCCTCTGTATCCCAAATTGTTCTACAGTAGGCCATCTGTCCAACAGCTAAAGCTTCACCCAGACTGGATCATGCAACAAGACAATGATTGCAAGCACAGCTGCAAATCTACAACAGAGTGGCTGAAAAAGTAAAAAAAAATCAAGGTTTTGCAACTGCCCGCTCAAAATCCAGACCTCACCCTGGCTGAAATGCTGTGATGGGGCCTTAAGAGAGCTGTGCATAAATCAATGCCTGCAAACCTCAATTAACTGAAGTAACTTTGTAAGAATACAAAAAAATATTATTATTATACCAGACTGCCTTGAGGCAACTGTTTTGATATGAGACTGTATAAAAATAATTGAATTGACTTCAAAAGGTGATTCCAGAAGCTAATGAATTATGGGATATATTCACACAGCTTCAACATTTAATTTTCTAATTTTTGTTGAATAAATAATGACACAGGTTCATGTCTTGTTTTGTACTTCTGAGGTTATATTTACCTAATTTCATATCTGCTAAGGACCAGGTTATGTTTAATATGTCCTGATGTATAAAACCTTAGAACTGAAACAGGGTTTACTTTCTTTTTACAATTACTTTATTATGATTTACGCTTTTTAACACTTACGCTTTCCTCTGATATCATGGCACTGGAAGGTGAAGCCAGTAAAACTAAAGCATAAACCTTTTCCTGTATTCCCACTTCAGTGTGAGATCAGAAACCTCTCCAGACCCATGGTGGTCACCCACCCTATTAGTTCACTGTCACCTAAAATGAGGAACCCTACTGGCCAACGAATCAAGAGACTCAGCGTCACTCCACTGGCCAGACCAGAGACGGAGCACAGCAGTGAGTATCATTTACTGTATTTTGCTGATGTTACTGTCTTTGTCTTTAAAATATATCACACTCTGTCTCTAGACCTGGTGGTGGAGACTGGACCAGTGATGGGAATCGTCTTTGCAGCCTTTGTAATGGGTGTCGGTCTGATGGGGGGGTTGTGGTGCATCTATAATTATACAGGTAATGAAGGCAGCTTGTGCGTTCTCTGTATGTTGTCATCTTATCAAGTTTCATTTAAATACAGGCTTATACACCAACTGATCCCAGACTATTCTATGAAAGTCTATGAAAGAAACAGCAGCACAGTTAATTGCTCCAAATTATCATAACTTAAATTTGCATCGTGTACTTTGAACAGAGAGCAGTTTTAGCAGTAAACCCAAATTCATTTCAAAGATGGAAAACAGGATACACCTTATTATCTGCATATTTTCTGTATTATTCCACAGCCGAGCGGCCAGCATCTTATAGAGATCATCTAACAGACCAGACTCGTGGAGAACACAACATCTGGAACCCGCCTTCTGTGTCTGATCAGTCCTCGAGCTCAGTGTGAGGTAAGAGCTCATGGTGAAGGTAACTCAAAGGGGAATTAAATGTGTTACACTGTGTCAAGCACACATTTTATTACTGTTACATTTTGTGAACATATTCTGATTTCACTATCATGCAGTGCGACTTTCTAGTTTGAGGGGGAAATATAAAACTTGGTCATCACTATGAAGTTCACAGGGTCTCTTTTGGGGGAACATGTCATGTGGAGGAGTATAGCCTGAACAAGTTGCCAGATCATGGGAGGGTTAACACAGAGAGACACTGATCCATATTTACAGCCAATCTAGAATCAACAGTTAACCCACATTGCTGTGCTGAGGATTTGGGTCAGCCCTAATATCTGTTATTGTGCAGCAATTTAATGAAACGCTTGCATGCATGGAGATGCTGTGTTTAAGGAAAATTCCATGATTCCATCAATTTTGACAAGATCCTCCACACCTCTGGCTTAAATGCGGCTCCAACCACGACAGAGCCTCCGCCGTGTTTTACAGATGGCTGTGGCTGCGTTCGACTTGTCCGGTTTCCTCAATTTTTTTGAGGACACACTGCACACCATACTGAGAAATCCCAAGTATTTGTCTGATACCTTTTTGGGTATTTGGGTTGCAGCTTGTTAGTGCAAAAATACAATTTCATGGATATACTTCACCACTTTAATAAGACCACTTGTTATTTTAGGGTGATGACTGAACCACCATTAAAGTGAAAGCAGTGGTATTCGGTAGCTTATAAACTCTAACTATGTGCTGTTTCACTTATAGAGGTGTGCATCTACCGCTGTGCCGTTGAACTGTACGTCTTACTCCAGCTGGGCTGCAAAGACCTAATGTCAAAGCTGTGCATTTAAAATAAACTGTTGTGGTTAGAAGCGCCGTCGTTTCCAGAAAATATATCAGCATTATGTCGAGCACCTGCAGATTTCAACTTTGATATGCCCGATAGGTCTGAACAGTGTTATTCTTTTATCTCTTTCTCAGGATTTCCTCCTGCAAATCTGAGAACGGAGAACTGGGACAGAGGTTTCAACAACTTCTGTGTGTGCAGCTGCCTTCTCTCTCTCTTTGTGTGTGTGTGCGTGCATGTGTGGGCATTTCTCCTCACGAGTACGGCTCGTTGCCGTGCATCCGAAATGTAAGAGACTGATACTGTATATGCTAAAGTGAATACAGCGCCGCTAATTCATCGCAGCGAAGAGTCAAGAGCTTTGACTCAAAGTGAAAAGGAGCTTCTTTGTCTTGTGTGGTGTTGTCAGCCATTCGATGCAGAGTCATTTCAAAAGCAGCAGCGAATCATCACATGTGGAGGCACATATATGAATCTGACAGAATCTAAACATGGTCGAGCGAGTCACTCTGAAACCACGTTATTTTTTTTGCCCGTACAGAGCGAATGCGAGGTCAAAGATGAGGTCACAGTGCGCCTGTCTGAACAGTCAGCTTTTTACACTTGTTTTCACTATTTATGTTGTGAATCAGCTGGATGTTAAAACTGCGTTTATCTGTGTGCGAAATCTTTTGTGTATGTGGGAAACATAAAATGTATTAAATGAGCTAAAATCTGTCTCAATCTTTCTCTCTCGTGTCTCAAAAAAATGTAACCATCTCAACAGCATAACCATAACGTCAAAGTCATAGACAAAACATGCTTAGCAAAGCTTAAGGGAAACATGCCGTGGCTGATTGTTATCTTTGGGTTTGAAGTAACAACACCTTTCACAAAATTGTGCTGATTTATTTTGAAAGGTGCAGTAACCTTAATTTTGTCTTTGAAAACTGAGAAGTGCTGCTGGGCTGTTTCACAGCTCAACCCGAGACAGAGCCATTGATGTTTACATCCTGCAGTCATCAAAGAGATGTAGACAGCATCTGGGTGTGAAATGTATCTCTGTGCCTTGCTCAGCGGTTCAGACTGTGGCAGTTACCGTGCAAAAAAGACCAGACTTGCTTCTCCATTTTTGATGTTTCAGTTCAAGAAATGATCAATTTGTTGTGGTACTGTGTTCTGTGTTTGGGACCTTTTGAATCTTGTTAAATGTATTTTTTGATTTTATTAAGTTGGTTTTCTTGTTTAGTTCTTGTGAATAGAAATGGTAGAGTTTGGTCATTTTCCTGCTATATTATTCGAGGTCTCTAGTTCAGTTTTAAGTTACTTTAGAGTTATCGGTTTATGTTCCCGCTCCCATGATCTGGTGTCTGTGGTTTGTTGCTTGGTGTCCCCTCCCGTCTGTCATGTCTCTCGCCCTGTCTCTCACGCCCTGTCTCTGTGCTCTCCACATTCTTCTCCATGTGTTTCATTCTTTGTCTCCCCCAGTCTGTCATGTGTTTCCATGTTTTTTATCCCCTTGGTGGGCGTGCTACTTCCTGTTTTGGCAGTCCCTCGTCTCATGTTTGTGTTCAGTTTGGTTTCCCCTGTCTTGTTATTCCTAATTTGTCCCTCCTGTATTCCCACGTGCTGCCGCTTTCCCTAATCTCCCTCAATGTGTCAGTTCCCCTTTGTCCCTCACAGGGACATCAGTTCACCTCCCTCCATGTTTCAGGTTCCATGTTCTGTGTTCCTAGTGTTTACTTTTGCCCGGTTTAGTTAGCCTGAGTCTCCTTTTGCCTTTTGTTTTGTATTCTTGTTTGGTTTTTCACCCATCCTAAATAAACATCTCACTGTTAAGTCCCATCCATCCTGTCCTCTCTCCAACACCATCTGCACACGCACAGGATGACACTATCAAGCAGCAGGGAAAAATGGAACGCAGTAACTTAACAGTATTGCACTTATTGGAAAAAGTCTAATTGGTAACACTTTATAATACAGTCAGTAAATTAAGGGTGGAATTTCCCTCATTAAATGGAATCTTGATGTATTTTATTTGAAATTATAATAATTCAGTGTATTAACCTACTGATACTTAAAGGTAGGCACACTAGAATAATGGGGTAACAAGTCAGGTTTTTACAGGAAACAAAGGAATAATGATACTGTAACTCATTTAAAGTGGACCAAATTCTTGGAACTTTACAGCGAAGGAGACAGAAATGACATCGAAGTAGTGTCAAGCACTGTGTAATATCTTGATAATGTTCTTGAAAAGCATCTTGCATTGTACGCTTTCGTTTTTGGGACACAGGCTGAATAAGAGAGCGGTTTAACTTTGCCAGATTTTCCAGTGTTTTACAGGAAAGCAAACACTCATTTTGAAAGTTATGTTTAAACAGTCATAGTGAAAAAAAAGTTAGACTTGGCTCTTGGTTTTATCGTTACAGGATCATATAAGCCTGAAAATTTCAACTGTATTTTTGGTAAGTTGGAAAGGCAGAACAGTCCTTGTCACATTTATAGTGGTAAAATAAAAGGACAGTTGAATAATTAAACATTCATCATCCACATCAACATAATGAATATGAAATAAAGATGTAAAGAACATAATAACTCCATAATATGGCCCAAGCCTCAAAAAGGACAGCATATTTTAAGATTGGAATATATTGCCTATTTTTCCCACAATTACCATGAAATTGCTCGCTATCCAGAATTCATTCATAATATTTACATCTGCTTAAAATTACTTAAATTTACTTACAGTATAATAAACTTTTTACCACCTTATTCCAGTGTCACTGCCTTTAAGCGTTTGTAGCTAAATATAATTAGATTGTAGTTTTAAATAAAATACACTGAAATTACATTTAATTACAGGGGACTTAAGCTCTCAGTCTACTTTGATATATTTATTATTGTCTGATTTGATGCATTTAAAAAAAATAATACGTGATTAACGGAAGACTGACATGGACAGGAGCTGTGTAGGGACAGACTCCGAGCTTAAAGACTCAGCAGCTCTCGTTTCATGTGATAAAGAAAATGGTTTTAATGATGGAAGCCTCCTTTCATGTCTTATGGTCATAGTTTACAGCACAACATCACATGAAAGCAGCTGCATAAAAACATCGACATTTTGATATGAAAACGCACATTTGCAATTCAGCCCAGCAGTCTGTGTTATAAATATGTGTCTCATATTTGTAACTAAACTGCTGAACCTGCTGACGTTTGGGTGGGATGTGATCATTCTTAAACTTGAACTCTGGGTAGATCTTCAGTACACTTTAATACACATGTGCTTACATAAGCACGGCCTGTCTTGGAGCTACCTGCTAAGATAGATGGCTGGTTGGTGTAGAAAGAAAACAGTTCGTGTGTGATTTTTGTTGGTTTTTCTTCTCAATTAGCCATTGTTGCTGCTTTAAACTGCAAAACACCAATTACTTCCATTAGCTTAAAGATAAGGCACACAACTCTGCGGCTGATATACCAAAACAGGAAGGATGTCTTTTGTTCTTTTTTAAGCGACTGACCACTTTAATGTAACAATATTGCAACTTTAAACACTTTTACCAAATGTGCTGTTGAAATGGTAACAAAGTGCTTTTCTTTTATTTTCAGAAAGCAAATTCAAATAAGACTTCATGTGTATGCAGTAGTCAAGGGGAATCCAGTGAGTGATCACCGTGAGTCATCTGTGTCATGACCCAGCAGCAGGACATTAAGCATGCTCTTCAGTCAGTAATGGGACAATCACGCACAGGCGCACGTATATTGCAATGGAAATAACATCTCATTACCTTCGGAACACGTTTGCTTTGCAAAAAATCTTCAGAAAATAACCTTATCATTATTTGTGAATGACTTTTGTGAGGTTTTTTTTAATCAAAGATGTCCCTGTAGAGTTCTTCAAGCAAACCAGTCCGCATTTATTCCCTTCTAAGCATGTTATTACTTAAAGCATATTTTTCAGACTTTTACATTTACAACAGATGTCACCCTGCCCACTTTTACTTTCTTTGCTTCATGGGCTCAGGTTTGAGTGTACATGTCCCCGTAACCACACTGCGTCTCTTGGTGGCGCTGTAGATCAACCCTGCGCTGGAAGCTGAGCTGACAACGGGGGCAGCTGAACGGCCGATAGCTGCTGTGCTTTCGGCTGTGGGTGATGAGGTTGGAGCTTTGGCTGAATCCTTTACCGCATACCTTACACACATGCGGTTTCTCACCTGAGCAGATGAGGGAAAAAAGGGGAACATTTTTTTTCCAGAGCTGGAGCATTTAAGAGCAAGGTTTAAATCAAACTGTTGCGTTCACCCACCTGTGTGTATGAAGGTGTGTTTCTTCATGTCTGACTTCTGGTGGAACCTTTTGCCACAGTACTGGCAGGGGTAGGGTCGAGTGTCTGAGTGGATGAGGAGGTGGGTTGACAAGGTGGACGAACGCTTGAACACCTTTCCGCACACCTTGCAGCCAAAGCTACGCTCCTGCACATTTATACACACAAACACACAGCTATTAAGAACCATGTTGATTAGCTTGGTTCAGCTTATTATGAGTCTGAGTATTATCAGGCTACTGTACCTTAGCTCTACCATAGCTGCTGATTGTTCTGAAGCCAAAGGGCATGTGGGAGATGTCTGTGGCCGTGGGGGATGTTGCCAGTGGAGAAGAGAAAACATTACAAACCTGTAGACCACCCCCTGGTATTAAGACTTCTGAAAGGGACTGTGGGAGGCAGACAATGAAGAAGAATACTAGTGAGTAACAATTTAAATAAGGGGAATTTAAACAGCTCATCAGTATGGAAAATTGCTTTGTATCAAAACGCCATTGCCTTGGAAATTGATTGCAACGAGTAATCAGTGTCTAATGTTAGTGTACTGTTGCATTTCATTTGTTCGATCCATAATAAAACAACACTTGTAAGCAGATTTTGGCGCGGTGGGCAGAGCCGGGCTGGCTGTTTCCTTCTCGTCTCCAGTCGTTGGGTTAACTTATCTCATCTATCTCATTTCCTAAAATGTCAAAGCATTCACAAAACATGACGAGCTACAGCTGTGCCAATTCTCCAGTGGTGCTCAAACAGTGTGCACAATCCTTTAAAAGTGCAATTGTTTTTGTGAGTAACCAGAGTAAATGGCAATATTCCTTGCAGGCTGCATCAGACTAGCGCATGTAGGTTGATCCAATAATGCATGAACTGTTACTTTCAGCTTTCTAAGCATGCTCTGCAAACACTGCACTCACTCTTCGTTTGTTTCCAGATGGCACCTGTTAAAGCGCCTCGATTGTTTAAATTGAATTTCATCTTCAGCAAAACATTTGAATAAAAGTAATAAAAGGTCTTTTCTTAATATTTGGAGAACACGCGGGTTAGGCGTCAGCCAGCTTTGCATTAATTATCTATTATAATAAACCTTTTGTATTTGCGATGCTGCTAGAAATCACAATAAATAGTTAAAACTTGTGAACACATACCGCTGTTATAAGCAAACATGTCATCTGTTCAATAATAAGATGTGCCAAAAATACATTTGTAATATTTAGAAATTATTATCCTGTTTTGTTTTTTAATCTTTTATGTCTTTTTATAGATTATTGAAATAAGTGTGAGCTCAAAAATCCAACATCAGCCGGGCTCCAGTTAGGAAACAGGACAGCTGATTATAAATGGTGTTCAATTTAAACAGCATACGTGTTTTTTAGACTGTCATCGATGCTGATTCAAAAAGCAGAGAGATTTTTCTGGATATGAGATTCCAATTTATCATGCAGCTTATGATCGTATAATCTTCTTATCAATAAAGTTTTAGAGAGATCAGGACTCATTTCAAATTCCTCCTCATGAGAACGCACAGACAGATGAAGCGGTTCAGAGTATTCTCTCCACTTGTGATTTCTTTTTCTCTGTGACACTGATAAGAACATCAACAGCAAAGACTAATAATTCTCACAACCCACAGGCCTCCTACCTTCTCGCACAGCGGGCAATCACTGACGGGAGATTTGAGGTCAGTGTGCGATGTGTGGTTGACTAACATGAAGACCAGTCTCTCCAGCTCTCGCTCTCTCTCAGATGCTTGGTGTCTGTCTGCCAACCACGGCGAGACCAGCAGAGGAGCGTTTATTTTCTCCAAGGGGGCTTTTTTTAAGAATGAGAATACAAATGTCATTAGTTCATTGATGTGTGAATCATTCTGAACCATTTTTGCTTTTCTTTTTGTGGCTTTGAGTACAAGAAAAACAAAGAACTTTGGTGTAACCGGAATCCGTTTGGTATTGTTTTAAATAACAAACCACATTGACATTTACTGTGGTAGTATTTCAAGCTCAGGTATACACAGACATACACACACAATGCTAGAAATATTCATACCTGAAGGCCAACGGTCCTGCGTGGGGTCACTGTGAGAGCGGACCGCCACCCGACTCCACGGCAAGTAGGCTTCGGCCACAAAATCTTTGACCCCATAGATGGGGGACGAAGGCTGCGCAGCATCTTCAGGGCGTCTGCCGTCCTTTCCAGCCGCTGGCACCTCAGCATCTCTCTGGGATAGGCACTGCTGTCTAAAGGCATCCTTAGACGGGCTGAGGAGGTGAGTCCTTTTACTCTTGACGAGGAACGATCTTGGCATGGCAGAGTGTCGACTGAACTGATGGGAGGCAAAAAAAATCATGTATCAGAAAGCTGCAGGAGTCTGATAAGCCAACTCTTTCATGTCACTTTTAGAGCCTCGTGCACTTAGATGTCGTGCACCTGTACGTGTTCAGTTACAATGCCAGAGCTTGAGGTTTCCTTAAGAAATACAGCCTGCCACCTGCACAAAGCCCTCAGTGAGGATAACCCTGTTGTGGTGTCATACATCTTCTAAACTGACACTTCTGCTACTTTTTATACTTTTATTTGAAGTGCAAACAATATATTTAGCTGTTCTCTCTCTTTTTTTCTTAAGAATAATAACAGCAGCGGCGCCATTAAGGATTTTGACCTCGCATGTTGACTCGCACGTTTTCAAAATGAAACAAGTGCGTGCACAAAACAACTGATTCATATTGTGACCAACCTTTTTTGTTTTAGTCACCACATAAGGGGCGAATATTTGTAGCTCTGAAATTTAACATTATAAAATTTCATTTATTTAACAAGGAAGAGAAGACCCTGAAAACGAAAACAGAAAAGACAACTAGGCGAGGCAACAGCATGGATGTAAAACTAGTTTATTCAAACTTGCTTAAAAATGTTGCCTCTAAATCTTCTGCTAGCTTTAGCCTGAGTGACAGTAAGTAACAATATTTTAACCTCGCTATCTGCTGAAATAATATCCTGCACAAATGTCACAGTGCACCAGATGATTACATTTGTCATGTTTTAGGTGCAAATAGAAATGTGGAAAAATATAGCTGAGATTAACTATGACACAGTAACAAGTGGATACCAGATAAATTGCTCTTCTTACCTCTGTGATGCGCAGCTGGATGTTGAGAGTGGTTCTTGTGTCCTTGTAGCTGACAACGTCCTCTTTTCACTTTCTCACACCCATCGACTGATGACATGACACAAAGAGATTTGATTTGATTTTGAAAGGCTGCTGAGCATTGTTTGACTGGAGGCACGAGGTGGCAAAATGCCCTGACCCGTTCGCATCTATTAGTAAAAAATGAGTTATTTTCACTGTAGGCATCTTTTTAACAGCCAGTTTTATAGGAGTTTTTGTTTTTGTTGTTTTTTTTACCCCAATAAAATCCAAACTTAAACAAAAATAAATAAATAAAAATGTAAAAAATATAAAAGAAAGAAAGGGTTGATCAGCTGGTGTCTTGGGGCTATCAGTTAAGTTGTCATGATGCCAAAGTCACGATGAAACCTTATTTAATGTGGGAGAAATTTGCTTGTGTCACTGCTGGATTTAATGACTATACATGTGGGCGTACTTGTAAATACACCAAGCATTCTCTGGAAAGTTTGAATATCTCATTGTTCTCATGTGAACATCTGAACCTTTACTTCTGAGACACTGAGGTAGCAGTTACACAGTAGACCTACCTGTCGTGTGTATGAGCATGTGGGAGTGTTTTATGTGGTGTCCCCCTATCCCACACAGTTTTAGTTTATATTTTTATTTTTTATTCTTCCCTAAATTGTACCTGAACCCATACAGCTAACATTTTCAGCCTTAAAAAACCTTCCATTACATGTTATAATCGTACACTTTATGTGTAATCGTATTTCTTTTAAGTAAGCTACACTTTGTAAATGTTTAGAAGGAATTAATCATGTAAATAATTAATAAATTATGTTGTAAATAAAATAAAGGCAAAATAGCGTCACTGTGTCGAGTAATCAACTTCCTTCTTCTTCTTCCAAAGACAAGACGCACCCCCGCCCACCCCATATACAGTTACCAGAATTAACTAAAATAACCAAAGTAACAAGTTTGAAAGAGGTACTAGAGGCGGTTTGTTTTTAAAACATTGCAAAGGTTAGTCAAAGTAGAAGTGAAAAAAAGGGTTTTCACATTGTTATCATGCACCAAATCTCTATCTATGTGTTTCGGTGCTTCTTCATGAGACGATTCCTCCTAGACCATCAGGAGCTGAGCAGCCAAACTTGGCAGTCTTGTACGTCTTTAGACTCCTGAGGGTTCTCATCTACATCAGCTATGTCACCATGTTGCTTGGCAATCATCTGATCCATTTTTTACCATTTAGACACTCCTACTGTTTTAGTTTCATATCCACAAAAGCTGAATTATGCAGGATATATTATGACACCATCTCGTTGCCTAGCATTCACCTAGCAACCAGCTAAAATGACTCGTTTTTATCATATAAATTGCACTGCTGCCCCTGTTTTTTGTGTTTTTCTTTGTTACTTGTCTCAGTTTGCCAAACGCCTGAACAGGCCAAACGTAATGTACAAGTTCTTATAGTTTACAAATACCCCAACATTTGAACACACTTTACAAACATGTGACATTTTCGGTGTAAAAATGATCCCAAATTATATTAATTATGGTTCCCAGAACCAAATCTACAATCTACAGTCTACATGAAAAGTAATAAATAAATATGCATATATATGGCAAAGGCAAAAACTAGTGCTTTTCACTGTACATCAAACACAGCCTAACTTCCTTGAACTGAAGGGGAAGTACTTTACCCTTTATGTGCCCAGCACAGCATAATCTATGTCTGCTTTTCTCTAAAACGCTTAAAGAAGACTGGGGGGAAAAAAAACTACTTTATCTGTACTATCACACTGATATCACAGAAATCAGTATCATAAACTAATCAGTTCTTCATTTATCTTGATCATAATAAAAATACCACGTCTGATAAAAACACCCTCCCAGGGAAGATCGGGCTTATTTCGAGTGACAGAAGAGAGAAAAACATTAACCAATCAAACTGAAGGCACAGACAGAAATAGATCCGAATTTCACAGCTCATTCTACAGCTTGCACGTGCGAATGCTGAGCAAAAGCGGAATCTCTTGAATCTTTGCCCAAATTTTAGCCCCAAAAATGTTCAAACCCCTTGACTGACAGCAGAAAAATTCTTAAATTGTACTACTTACAGGCTTCAAGATGTTACTATTCATAAAAACCACTTAGAATCAGCATATGTGCAGATGGCATGTAAGTTTAGTAGAAGCCACAGCACTTGATCAAATGCAGATTATAATTAGCCCAGATGTTAGCTTGCCCTGTTTGTACAGCTTTTAACAGCGTGCCCCCTGTGGGCATGACGAACTCTCGGCTGTTTCTCTGAAACTTACTTGGGAAAAGTACCACGGTTTACATATCTCATAAACTCCACACGACCTCTCAATTTTACACTATTGCTTATCGTTTTACAAGATGAATACCCTTGTTTGTCCGGAAATGTCAGCTACAAAGAGTAATTAAATGTACAAGATGAAAACATCTTCTATCATCTATCCTATATCTACCTTTGTATCTAAGGTATGTTAGTCACTGCTTAAGAGTTCAACTGTCATTAACAACAAAGAAGACTTTGAAATTTCTTTGACTTCTTTGACTTCTTTGCCAAATTGTCAGCAAAATTGTCAGAATTCCCCACTGCAAGTTCTCACTGACACAAGTGGAAAAAATGGCATTTCTGAACAGATATCTTCTGGAGCCCGAATCTGACCTCAGACTGAAATCAAATCAAAGGCACATAAACTGAAACCAACGCTTTTCTCCGTGTGGCTGTATTTTTTGCAAGCAACTCATCTGACTCCTGGTGTGAGCAGCACAAACTGAAGCTGAGTTCCCCTTGATGTGCACAAAGACAGGCATGTCAGAGCACTGTGGTTGATGTGGTGGGGGGCTGGCAACCTTTTCCCAGGGGCTTTCAGGGAGAGCAGACGAGAGGAGTGCAGGGAGCCGAGACGGGCTGGTGGGTTCGGTGGGTTTTCAACTTCATTTGTTTTGGGGGGTTCAGGGGCTGCTCGTTCCCCCGATGGTGGCGGAAAACTGCCTTTCTAGGAACCTGAAACGTGAAGCAGAGCGAGGCAAGAAAAAACAATTGTAGGCAAAAGTTCATTTTCCTTTTGTTTTGATCCAGATGTTTACTCGCTGTGATAGTCTGGAGTATAGTACTTT